TTTTGACACGATCACTTTTCATTTGATATTACATCCTAGCACTACGAAAAACATTTATAAATTGTCCTAATGTAAATAAAATGAAAAAAAAGTATTGTTTATCAACAGAAATTTAAAATTCGCCGTGCGGCTGCCGTGGGAAATGTGACTGCAAAAGTATGAGAAATTCTACGGCGAGCGTAGAAAGGCTACTGGCCGCAGAAATGATAGACCGCATGGCGGCTGTGGGAAATGTGACTGGGGTGTTCATACGAACAAATTGATTTAGTTTTGCAATATTTATATTTATTCTTTAAATCTTTTTCAAGCAACTGAAAATTGTTCCTATAATTATAAATAAATTTGTTCAATCAATTTAACATAAAATTTGATATTTTTTATTTTAACATAAAAACAACTACTTATTGTCTTAATACTGATGAAAACACTTTTTCTTTCAAATCTGTGCACCTTCGTTTTGTTTTATTTCAAACAAAAAAATTCTTGCCCGGAGCTGATTAGTCCCCAAGAGCAAATATCAAATAATAGAAACATTTTGTCATGAGTTATTATAAAAAGCACACATATATGTATCATTTATAAGCATTTGAATGGGTATAGTATTTATTATCCATCACTTCGATTTGTTTTATATTAAAACTTTGATGGAATTAAAATGCGAAATTATATTAAAACATATTATACGATTACAGTTTAGACAAACACGAGCTTCAGCGTCTACAACCAGCCTTTAAAAAACATTCCGATGTGACTGCTATACTCAGGCCGTAGTCAAGATTTCTCAAAAGAGTTCTACTTTTGCTAAATTTCAAAGGACATTTGTAACGCGCGTGCTCCCTAGTTCACGTGTACACCTCCATTTACAGGTTGACCCCAAACAATTACCCTCTCATTTTAGTATATTCCTGCTCTCGTTCATGCTTTTAACAATGCTCTCTTTAGGACATATCTTTTGAAAAAACCATGCATTCTTTAGCACAAAGCATAGAAGCGGGAAAGGAATAGCTCTGTTGACTGGCCCGTCCTTCAACCAGTGCTTAACTGCTTTTGTCATTTTACATATATGCATACATATCTCTGAGACGTTTTAGGAAAACAGGTGTAAACTCAATAATATTTCGAAAGTCGTCTTGAAAATGGCGGTGTAAACTCAACATATTTTTTCTAAAACGTTTAGCTAAGACGTCTTGAAATGTCGCGTGCAGTGTAAATAGGGCTAGAAGCTCCCTTTAGAGAGAATCTGAGGAGCAGACAATGCTGCAATGCTGTAGTGTAATTCTGATTATCGGTTTACTAGTTCAGTAAAATCAATCAAAGCAGATTGAGTGCTGTTATCTATGGATTTTGCAAAACACTGACACATGCCCAGCATGAAACAATTGTCACATTGACCATAGCTATTTTGGTATTTATGTGGTGATCATCACCGGTTATATTGATTGAACTAGTTAAGCAATGAGGAATGCTATATTAATTAATCATCTTTTGACACCTCGTTCACCTTGGCAAATCTCACAAATCTTTTGTAAGATATAAAGGAGTAATTTGATACAAGTCTCTTGGGTGCTCGCTTGTAAGAAGTCACTCTTTCTAGAGGCTTTTATTTGATAATATTCTAGACTAGTGTTCTTTGTTGTAAGGCATTGCAATTTGAAAAAGGTTTAATTTTAGAGCCTACGAAGTACAATAGATATCGTGTTATTTCATCATCTGTCACTTCTGTCGTCAGAGAGTATTCACGAAGCCATAAACATTTAACTAAAGATGATAAAATAAATATTACATTCTTCGAAAATATTTGCTATTATTCTTCAATTCAGTAACTAAATGTAAGTCCATAATGTCATAATGAATGAACACGCTTCTATTATAAAATGAAAAACAAATAAAATCTTTTGATTTGGAGTTTTTTTTAGAAAAATCATAATCTCAGTATTAAATTTCATGGGAATTGCATGTTTCAGAAGTTGACATATATTTATGTGAACTCTAAGTGAACTCTATCTCAACTCTGTCTCAATAAATTAGAAATGAGGATTTCTTCCTAAAGTAGCTCGTTTTAAAAAGATGCATATTTTCCTTAAAGATGTGCTCGGATCTGCCCCTAAACTTAGCTAAATATATGTTAACTCTTGATTTGGATTTCATTAAACAAATGTAATATGAAAATCATGATCTTGCCTTCAGATTTCAGGATATCTATTCGGTAAAAGATCCACCAAAAACTATTTTAACATAGAAAATTAAATTGTCTTACTTTTTCAAATTCAATTGTATTTTGCGAAAATAAATGGAGGTATCGGACATGATGTCAATTTATTTTTTCCAGCACTAAAAACAGTTTTATCTTCACACTGTACATATTATACGAATAATAATTTAAACATGAGGAGGCTTAAACACTCCATGGGGAAGTTTACGGTTGACACACTTTTGGAGGGGGTGTAAATTGTGTGTAATCTGGTTTTATATGAGGAACTCCAATGAATGTGGAGATTTGAGGATAATATAAAAAAAGTGAACCCCTGGTCATTTCACACCAACTTTCGCAACGAAGACTGCCACTTGTAATACCACACCAAAGCATTATAATTAATATGATATTCATATAAAATGTACAGAAATATTAAATATAATTGTGCTTTCCAGTGAATTACGTGTGTAAAAGATAAGCCTACAGAGCTAGATAGGTTTCGCAAAAAATTTTTTTTTAGCTCAACGGATCCGTATCCGTAACCAGATTAATGCGTAGTGAGTTCAATCTATTATACGTGAAACGATACGGAAAACACGAATAATGAGGCTTTTTTACGTATCCTTCGACTATAACGTTTTAATGTTTATAATTATAATGTTTTTAGTTCTGAAGGTATCACTATATGAACACAGTGTGTTGTGTATAATTTGACTAACATTTGTTTATTGTTTGACATAAATCGAGCTTTTCAAATGGTATGTTCAATTCATCTTACACTGTATGGATACCCTTTGCATTGTTTGACTTCACTACTTGAAAGAGAGCTTCGTCTTCAGTAGTTTAACTAGACTCTGCACGCAGGGTACTGTATGGAATGGTATTGCAATAATTACAGTGTACATGTTTCGCACAACGTTTTAGCTACCCGTATCAAAATCCGCGACGCGTCGATGGAGTAAAAAGTGTACTCAATACGTTTGTGATACCGACAGCAATCTCGAAAGTAAGTACTAACACTGTGTGTGCGTAGTTGCCTCCGCATCTATTTTGTCCTTCAAATCTTGATAAATTTTTCCCTATATGTATAATTTTAGTAACCCACATGTGTTATCATGTATATCGTTCTAATTTTGATGAAGTAATAGCCTTATCTGTCGATAAATTCGATTATAAGTGGGAGGCCTGCAATTTTTAGGAATAAAGGTTTAGTCACATTTGCTAATAGGCAGATGTAAGGTCTATTTTTTCTGGGGTCAATAGTTTAGTTTAGTTTAAAAAAAGTTTAAAATAGTTTATTTTTGTGTCACTGACATTACAATATACATATAAAATACATAATAAAAACAACATTTTGTAACATCACCAGCCGGTGCCGACTTATGAGACAAAGTATACATTATATCTGAGTGTCACCCATTACTACCCCCAATGGGCAGCTTGGGTCAACACTCATAAAGACAGAGACAAAAAATGTCCCTGGTAAAAATGTATACATGATTAATAACCAATGATATAAATTCAGTCTGATTAATCAGTTTGGCATAAATAAATAAGCAGTTCATGGAATGATATTGTCAATCATTATATTAAATACATATATTGCACCTAATGTGATATCGATATTGCATAATAAATACATATATTGCACTAAATGAGAGTAGCATGTTGCATATGGTCAAAAATTACAATAAATACAAATATCGCACTAAATGTGAATTGTATCATGCATATGGTCGAAGACTGTTATTACAATAAATTCATATATATTGCACTTAATGTAAGTAGCATGTTGCACTATGGTCAAATATTACAATAAATATGAACATTGCACTAAATGTGAAATACACAATGCATCGGTTGAAGACAAATATTACAATAAATACATGTATTGCACTAAATGTGAGATGCATATTGCATGATTAATACATATATTGCACTAAATGTAAGTAGTATATTGCATATGGTCAAATATTACAATTAATATGAATATTGCACTAAATGTGAAATACATAATGCATATGTTTGAAGACAAATATTACAATAAATGCATATATTGCACTAAATATGAGATGCATATTGAATAATAAATACATATATTGCACTAAATGGGAGTTGCATGAGCAGTGAATAAATAAAACAAGAAACCCATAGATAATATTCACCTCTGCAGTACTGAATTGAGACCATCTTCCCCAAGGTTGATAGCTCAAAGCACTAAAAAGAGGCATCATAAAACCAAGGAGTTTCTGACTAGATACATTTTAAATAAATATTTTATAAAGGAAACTTAGGTGACATGCATACTCATTAAGTGATTATAGCCTATCAATATTAAGAGATCTCTTATTGCACATATTATAAACTAAAGCTCCTAATGGTCTTTGGAGTGAAGTACAATTCATAATGGAGACAAAAAGAAGTGTAGAATTGGCTGATGTTACATCTAAATAAGGCAATTTCTGTTTAACATTTTCATAAAAATCACATCTTAGATCATCATAATGGCTACATTCTAATAAGAAATGCTTTTCATCTTCAATACAATTCATGTCACATAATAAGCATTTCCTTTCGTGTAATGGTATACCTGTGTAGCGCCCTGTTTCAATTGCTAAGGGTAAAGTACCAGTTCTGAATCTAGCGAGTGACCTACGGTGATGCTTTGGTAGGGCCAAATACCCTTCCTTGCAAACACCATATTTGTACAGTCTATATTGTCTCAATTTATTGCCATTAGTTTCATTATTTCTATCATCCCATATGTTATGGATAAATTTATCAGAATTTCGAAGAGAGTTAGTAAACTGTTTTAAAATGTCCTTGGTATGACCAGTGAAATTTATATTACATGTATTTAACATTGAATTAACTTTAAAGTCCCAACTGCTTTTCCGTTTAATGGACCATTCATGTATTTTAAAATTCAGCCTATTCTGATTCATGGACTTCAGTTTAATGAACAATCTAGCACATTCCACCTTTGTAATATAATAATAGTAATACCTTGGTCAATTTCTTAGGGACATCAAACCAATGGTTAGCAGCTAGGCCATCTTAATTTATATAGAGCAGGGTCTTGGACTTAGTTTGAGTACATTCCTTATTTTCATGTTTGTAAAGACAGGCCTGACATCCAGTTGGGATAGGTTAGTTATATTTGAATCAAAGTTTCGTTTTTGTGTATTGGTTGTGCCTGATTGTGCTTCAATGGGTTGAGTAAATGCGATTGAGTATTTGGTTGATCCTGGTTGTGTAATGGTGGGTTAGTGTCAAGTAGGTATAGGTTTTGCCGAATTGTGTTTGCTTGTGTTCGCTTGTCTTTTGATGGTTGTAAGTCTGGTGATTTAGTATCGTGTTGTGCCCCATTGTGTTATGTTAATTTTATAATGGGTTGTGTTCTCTTGTTAATATGTTATGTTGGATGGCTAGCTGGTTGTGGCTAGTCATATGAGGTATCTTGTTGTGTCTGATTGTGTTGTGTGATTGGCGTTGTCTCCAATTGGAGTAAGTTTGTTGTGTATATTGGTATTACAGTTTGATTGTGTTTCATTGCCTGTGCCTGATTTTGTTTTGATTGTTCGGTTTTGGGTTTTTAAAAATTGTGTTGTGTTACTTGAACAATGGGTTGTGTTTGCTTTTGTTGGTTTATCATTGGGTTGTGCCAAATTGTGTGGTGATAATTTCATAGTTCGTTTTGTTTTCGTGGTTGTTAGTTTAGTTGTGTTTTATTGGTTGTGCCTGATTGTGTTTTAATTATTTGGTATTGGATTGTGCACAATTGTGTTGAGTTAATTCAATAATCGGTTGTGTTGTCTTTGTTGTTTTACTATTGGGTTGTGACATATTGTGCTAATTTGACAATTGGTTGTGTTTTGGTGGTTGTAAGTCAGGTTGCGCTATGCTGGCTTTGGTGCTGGGCTATGCTCTATTGCGTTCTGTGTATTTTGCCACTGGGTTATGTTCATACGTTGTATGATTGGTGATTTAGGTTGTGTTTGGTTGTAATAGGTTATATATGTCGAGTTGCGGACTGTGTCCGATCGGGTTGTGGTGTATATATTGGGTTAAGATACAAATGGCCGGTTTAGGGTATTATATTGTTGTGCATCAGTTGATTCTGGGTAGAATCAAAGGGTATATTAATACACATTATTAGTATGTTATAGGTTTGGTACCTACATGTATTCATATATAGTACAATCTCTAGGGTGAGATATTCAACTGGTATGATTGGCGTTAGCTTCGAGTCGTTCTCTGATTCTCTGATGAGGTGGTCTCCGTTGTTCAATGAATCCAAGAAAAAACATTGCTAATTTATCTTTTTACAACATATATTTTTTTGTTGATTTTTCATACAAAACAGGGAGATGTACTTTGATTGCATACATGATATATTTGTGTCTCTTTTTATGATCAAATATGTTACTTTGCTCCCCTCCTTAGTTTATATGAGGCTTGGGTTTTCAACTAAAGCCCATGTATGATTGCAGATGAAGCCTATTATTTGACCGTAGTTTTCACGACTATTAAACACGGATTGAGATGCGTTTATAACGTACTTCAAACGAACTGCGAAACGAAAATTATCGAAATACGTATCCGTAAACGTAACGACATATTGATGCGGATACGTTTTAGTTAATCCGTTTTGCGAAACCTCTCTAATATTTTAAGTACTTCGGTAATGTAAGAAGGGAGGATAATATCATGAAAAGAACATCTTTAGCCTGTAAACATGTGGCTAATGACTCAATTGACGATGAATAGTTCGTTTCCTCAAAACAATGGACGTTCCAATGAGTTACAATATCAAATAATTATGTTGCACACTATATTTTGTCATTACAATTAGTTGTGATATAGTAAGAGTAATGCCGATCTTTTTACTTTCTCTTTATTATATTTAATCGTGTCATGTGTTCCAATTTACTTTAATAACAATATGTACATATATACATATCAACATATTGACACATGTAATGTCGTTAGCCATTATATCAAATAGTTCTCTCGATTTCGCATATATAAAATTGTCCAACATTCCGATCTGTAATTGTGAGTTATTCCGTCAGATCATACAATAGTCGCATCGTTTGCCAACGTGGTCCTTCTCGTGCTATCATCAACAGACAATATTACCTAGAAATCAATCAACACCATCAATCAACACAATGGAGAATACCCGATGCATATAATGTGTGTCACCATGGTCACCAGTTTCAAAATTACGGTATTTCGTTAAAAAATAATTTCAAACGCATTTTGAAATGTTCAATTAGAATGATTTCCAACATCTTACCTGTATGGGGGACAAATCTTATAACTGTTCCACCAACTCGTCGAGTCTCATACAGTTTAGTCGGGCATCTCGCATTTGCTTCAGTCAAAGCGGCGTAACTTTCGTTCCAAACTGAACTCCGTGTCCATGGTAGGGTAGCTATTGTAAACCGATTCAATGGGCATTGCCTAACACTACATAGATTGCCGCTAGCGTGATAACACGATGCGTGGTCAAGTTTTTCTGGGGTAAGATCTCCCAATTAGAGTTATCAAGAATCGAGTTCAGGTTCTGTCTCATACATTGGACCACAGATTCAGCCCACTCCTCGCCCTTAATAGGAAACCAGAACGTACATGCTACAGATGACAGTTAAAGAAATACAAAGTTTAATACAATGCTGAGTCACCAAAGTGCAAATCGCAGTGTATGCTAAAATATACCTCATATATCTAATACAAAGTTAAATATTAGTATTCCCAAATATCATTTCATAATTTATAGAATTAAGTGGCGTGTTATTGAAATCGGTAAAAATTTGACAAGTAGGATTTTCAATGGCTACAACAAAAATCTGAAAGATCAGATATATACGCACGACCTCTTAATGAGTGAATAATTAACTTAAAGATATACTTCTAAATGTCAAACGCAAATTGAATAAATCAGATAAATTCTTACCCTGGAAGTTAGTGCGACCCCTTGTTTTTTCAACGTCAATTCTCTGCAAAGACGTTTCCCAAAATCTATAGGATAACCGTGCATTCCGCATCGCATATTTCTATGTGCCTCTACGGTATCATAGAAATCACAATCGTCAGACAATCCCGAATTCTGCATAAAGTTAGCATAACCTGAAGACAAATCTCTGTAATATATGATATAAGTCACCAGAGAAGTCTCGAAATTAAGTCGAAATTAAACATATACAATGTAATATGACTATAAGACTAAAAAAATCACGTATCTATACCAAAACTACTCTTTAGTTTTGAAGTCTGAAACGAAACATTTCGTCAACTATTTGATAAACTTCCTAAATGTATTTGATTTCAAGATCTTACCTTCAAAAACAAAAACGATGAGAAACATTAATCCAGTTCCCGTCAAGTGAGCCATTTCTGTTTGTTTGATTATCAAATGTTCACAGCAGTCCGAACTTTGATCTTTACTTAGTCCACGAGGGGAAAGAGTACCCGTGTATATACAACCTACCGCCGAGCAAGACACGCACATACCGCCGAGCAAATGTTTGATAATGTCATCTCGTAGGAAAATGAACAGTAAAGGTAATATAATGTCACTAACAATTCCTTTGGATGGTTAGAGTTGTTACTAAGATGTTCTAGCAGGCGCAATTGGCCTAGAATTATAGTTGAAATATATTTTTATGTCCAAATTAAGAGATAAGGTAAACGTATTATGGTTTTCGATTTGTTTTTCTCATTCATACTCGTTTTAATTGATAATAGCCATACATAAGACATACTTGGGTCGGTAAATGGATGTGCATATGCATAATATATTAAGTGTCAAAATATTAGGTCAAAATAGCACTTTTGAACAGCAAAATCTTCACTTAAACTTTGTCCTAAAAGATCCGAGGTTATCGGACATCGGACCCGATGTGATCGACGAGTAATATTATAAAGATCCGAAAATATCTTGAGTAAAGGATCTCAGAATCCGAACATTACTTGAGTAAAATCTGTTGAGATCCGACTATATCGTCGAGTTTATGACGTGCTGATGAAAAAATAATAAACATACAATCTGCATCATTCATGTGAATCATTTTGTTGTGAACAATAAATGAAACTGAAAAAATATGGCTATCACCAGTTACCACTGCACATCGAAACATTGTATTTCAGGTCCTCGGTACAAATGCTTCCACTGTAGTTATAAATCACACGAGATGGATGACTTTGTGGTCCACTTCAGTCAGCACTATCCATTACTGAGTATTAAAGTGAATGTGCCTGAGTTAAATGGCAAAAATGGATTTACAATGTTTTGGACTAGGTATGGTATTGTATTATCAAAGAAAGATCACGGTAATTTTCGTTTCGAGGATATGAAGCTTGTGAAGCTTGGGATTCTTCAAGTTGTGTTCTTTGAGTAGAATGGCGCTTGCAATGCAGAATTAAATGTTTTTGGGTTGCACTCTTACCATAGACACATAGGAAATATGGTGATTCAAGTGTAAGCATGAATTCAATGTTTTAAAGAACTTTGCCGGAAACAGACGTTGACGTATAGTGCTGAGGGAATTATATCATATTATATTATATCCCGGTGCCAGGAGTATATGATGAATAAAAAGGGATATTTGTGATATCGTCATGATATTATATGCTCATTCGAAAGCTTACTCACTACCTCATCGGGTTCTACTCACGGTATAGTCGGAATAGCTCGGTGGTAGCTTCGGGTCCTATATAATAGTACTCGTGACATAGTCGGGTCTTTCATTTTCAACTTTCACCGGTGATTTCAATGATATGCAACGTATGGCAGTGAAATAAATATGATACATTTACACCTATTGTATCTTTGAATCGAATGAAGTAAAGACAGCCATGGTTGTTACTTATTCAAGATGTAAATCATCATTCAAATATTTAAAAGTTGAATTTAGCGATTGGATAGTAAACATTGCGCTAAGTACTCATTATTTTGCAAACATTAGTGCCTGGAACAATAACTTTATCAGTTACACACAATTCTGTGTTTTATCTGTTTTTCATATTGGGAAATTCAAGATATAAACAAAAGTTTATAACTCACCCCCTACATTTTCAGACATCTTCGGGTCTTTGCTCGGCGGTAGGTTGTATATACACGGGTACTCTTTCCCCTCGTGTTAGTCTAGTGTTTGTTTTTTGTGTAGTTCATAGATATTAACGAGGAAGGGGCGATAACTGATTATTTTACATACATACATATATAAAACGAAAATGTTTCAACGTTTGTATGACGTGCACGGACCTGGGGACAACTTGAGAAATAAGAATTGATGTCACTTTAAGCGTTAATCCCTGCCTTATTAAAAGGCAAACCATGTGTTTCGTATATCCTTTTTAAGTACTACTAGTAGCCAAGAAAAGTTTGATGTAATCAATAGCTTTAAAGTTGTATAGCCCGACATCGTCAAATACGCTGTGAAACGAAACCCTTGCAAAGTTTGAATTACTATTATATTCAACATTGTTTTTCTCTTCTAATTTCCAATTATTGAAAACATTAAAAAACACCGTCATTTATGTAATGGTCACTGATTGACAACACTTTATTGCGAAAAGTATATATGTATTTTATAAAACGTGGTGTGTTTTCTAAAACAATATAGAGAAAAGTATGCATACATATTTTTATCAAATTGAATTGTTACCATTCAAAAGATGATCACTAAATTGACAATGTGTAAAATTTTCAGAAAGAGAAACAAGTGTTCAATTCAGTTCGCCATATCGATACCAATTCTTTACAAAACAATATAACAAGTTAATGGACTTTGCAAGTACATGTAATCTGGGCTGGTTAACGAGACCTCATCAAATCCAGTGCATCCATTTTTACTCCAAATAACACGCATATATTTCTTTTTACTAAAGCTTCAAGTGAATTTCCTGACAGTTTTACAAAGTTTATGAACGTTTTAGAAATATTGTTTTCGAAATATTGTTACTCTTTTTATCATGATTGAATAAGGATAAAAAAAACTTTATTTTTAGGTTGTTGGTATATTTAAATGCATTCAAATTCTGTAATTCTACTAGAGGTAGCAACAAAAAGTTCTAAACAAGCTCAATATCCTGTGGAAGAACCCATATTCTTACTATTGAAAATGGATTCTAGCAATAATACCCAACGTGAATCTACTTGTTGAGACTCGATCAGCTTGTGTTCTTTTGGGAAAATGAGGATTTCAGCATGGGTGCATTATTTTAACATGGGGTCATACACCAACGACTAGGCATCGGGATACCAGCATGTATGTCATTCTCATTTTCTCAGAAGAACTCAAGTTGATCGAATCTCAACAAGTACATTCATGTGTGATAGTATTGCTAGAATCCATTTTCAATAATAAGGATATTAAAGCTTAACTAAGACTTTTTGAAAGGAGTAATATCGATATGGAGAACTTTTTGAACACACGTTTCTCTTAAACCAGTCATTAAAAAATCTAAAAATTTAACACATCGTCAATTTAATGGTCATCTTTTGAATAGTAACAATATAATTTGAAAAATATACTTGTATATATACTTTCATCTATATTGTATCAGAAAACACATCAAACACTTGTTTTGTTCTTGGTATCATGTTTCCAGAGTGAAATGAAACATCTTTCCGAACCTCATTGGAACAAAATGACATGAACACAACACGTTTAGGTCTCTCAATATTATAATTGTACAAAAGGAAAGTTTGGTTGATTTGAAAAAAAGTATTTTGTTAATGATATAAAAGGTTTATCTTGATTTTTTCTATTATGGGGGATTTTGTTTTAATTTTTTGAATACTTTTTTAAAATCAACCAAAAATTCCTTTGTATAACTATAAAATTGAGAGGTCTAAAAACATGTTTGATATGCTATTTTGTTGCGACAAAAGGTTCGGAAAGACATTTTATTTCATTCTCAAGAATCGGTAGAAAGGAGCAAAAACAATTGCACTAAAAAAAACAAAAAATGTTAACAAAAACAGTTATATAAAATATTTCTAAATAATTTCCGCATTTAATTGTTGTCAATCAGTCAACATTACATAAAATACCGTGTTTTTACAGACTAATTTCAATGATTGGTTTAAGATAAAAACATTGTTGAATTCAGTTCTCCATATCGATACCACTCCTTTGGTAAATTTTGGTAAGTCCCACAAAGCCTGTGTGTTAATATCAACAAAATTTGTGTTATTTTGATGTCTTGCTTTTAATTTGACTTTTTAATTCATAGATGTTCTTAGCTTCAGTAGTCTGGTCGCAAGGAGTCACGTTTCGACTATCTTGTGCCTGAGTATTTGCCAAGAAAGGCGACCGCGGGTCATGAATTCAAAAGCCTAAGGCAGCCGCAAGTTTTCTGTGTTTGCAAATTCAAAATGATATAAGACTATAAATGTAAATAATAATCAAATCGATAATTTCTAGATTTTACTAAAGATATGAAGAGAGGCTCATTCATGTTGAAGTTTGAAATCAAACATCTTGCTATGATTAATGATGATGAAGACATCGTTCGAATAATCCTTATGCTTAAATTTAAAAAGTACTTAGTTAAAAATTCATTATTCCTAGCTCGAAATACCTTGAGATGAGATTCTGACCAAGTCGGATATTTTATAGGATATAAAAATTGAGTGTTGAATGCTATTCAATAAATTGACTTTTGTAATTGATAACACTCACATATTTTTAGGTGAATGTAAAGATGACTATTAAGGTGATTTTCTTGTGTCTGCTACTGGCAGTGACCATAGAAAAAGGTAAATATCCAATAATCCACCAATATAATTAAATCGTTCACTTTTGCTGGATTCATCCTTTTCAAACATTTCCGAAGGTATCTAGGACATATTTATGAAGGGAAACTAAAACTAAAACTTATATATTTTGAATCGTATCAAAATCTATCGAAAATGTAATTTTACGTTGTGCATTCTTTAACTAGACGGTTGTGAATAAAACAGCTACAGCATAGGATATGAAATGGCGACTGTTCCTGCTCAGATATAAATTATTGCAGGGAATGGAATCTAATTCTAAATGAGGATCTCTGGATTTTTTCTTGTAGTAATGTGTGACTACTTTGTCGGTATACAGACATCAGGTGATAACTTTGCTGGTACAGGATGTCCGGTTAAGTTAAACATCAAGGGACACAAAGGCAGTTCTGGATATAGACATATTCCCGGGGATTACAGCAGAAATGAGTAATTCAATAATATTGGCATGAATCACATACACTGAACTCAATTTTCCCACCGGAAGATCCGTCAAGCATCCGCCATAACTAGTCCCCGGGAACTAGTCCAACAACATTAGACCTAGCCTTGGCCTCGTTTCTTATCTGACATGTCTTATGGCCCCGGCTAGGTCTAACCTCTATGATCATCTTGCCTTTTTTACTTTAATTTAATCGTTCCGCAGGTTTCGACAAGCGGAACTAATTAAACCCTGAAAACAAGATAATATTACATAGAGAATGTGATTCAAGCACATATACTTTCCCCATAAGTTTGGCAACCTTAACTCCCCCATTGAACTACGTGTTAAAGCCTCTTTACGTTTGATTTTTTATTTACTTAACCTGCGATGAAATAACTCATAATATTGATGGAAACGTAACTTGACTTTATTTCCAATACCTCCAAATTTTCTCAATTTTTTTCCTCAATTACAATAGGTCGAAAATTGATGAATTTTTCAAAATCCACATTCCCATGTCAACCAATGGGAAATGGTAGGTTTGCCGCAAGTCATATAACAGAATATCCTTCCATCCGAGTCCTTGCAAAAAAATACGACTTAGGTAGGCAATTGAATTTGCTAACTTTATTTAACAAAAAATGGTACATTTCTTCAGGTTCAACAAAGTTATAGGGCTTTAAAGTCAAAATTGTTTTTCAAAAAAACTCTCCCATTGAAATAACACAGGAGGCGAAAAATGGTCTTAAAAATATTTTTTGCTGAATCTTTTACTGAATAGATATCCTGATTTCTGATTTGCCCCAAACCCACCATTTCCCATTTGTTTACATGGAAATGACGATTTTCAAAGATTCATCAAATTTATCATCAATTTTCGACCTATTGTAATTGAGGAAAAAAATTCGGAAAATTTGGAGGTATTGGAAATGAAGTCAAGTTACGTATCCGTCAATATTATTTCATCGCAGGTTAAGTAAAAAAAAATTCAAACGTAAAGAGGCTTTAACACGTAGTTCAATGGGAGAGCTAAGGTTGCCAAACTTATGGAGGGGAGTGTACCTTATGAATACATACACACCATCCCATACCCCCCTTAGACCCTATTGATGCATAATTACGAAAATTTTGGAGACAGGTTTGGAATATAACGAAAACGTCGGTCAGATCAGTTCTGGTAACATCGAAATTGCAAATCGTATTGATCAGAAATTAACCGTCATTGCGGCACTGCATTAACAAACAGTAGGTTTGCAATTAATATCTATTTTGCGTGTATACACGAGCTATATAAATCAATCAAAGATACCAGTTGTCCTCAAAATTGATCTTTTTATCCCCAGTAATCGCGATAATAATGATCAATCTATTTGACAACAATTTCGTTTCGCTTATAGTTTAATTTTAACCCGGGACGAACAAACACAATGACGGACATGCGGAAATGTCATTTTAGAGATTGGTAAGTGTAGCCTCATTTAACTAGCATAAATGAAAATTCAACACAAAAATATTGTGTTAGATCGCTTGATGTTATGTGTTTTTATATTATTGTCAAGTATCAGTTGCATGTTATCGCGGAAAAATGGTTTTGATGGATCCAGAAACCCAATAACGGCCAAGCAAATTATCACTGAAAAGTGCCACGCCCACTTTTGAGTAGATATAGAGGTAGTCAGTCACCTAATAGAATAGAGTCCAGAGTCAAAGATATAATATAATTCATCATATTTATCATGTTATCTTTTTAAACACTCCCCAAATATGTTTTTAGGGTATTAAAGTATCTCTCTTAGGATTCTAGGCCGAATTTCGACATTTTTTTTCAAATGATTTGAAGAGAAATGGCAACATCTGTTATTATAAGAAGCTTCGGATTTACCTGAAATATTAAAGATTTAGAGCAATTAAATTGTGTTGCTATGGTAACCAATCGACCAATTAATGTCAAAATTGTTGTAACAACTAACTATACATAGGTGCATTGTAGTGATTGGAGTTATAAAACAGAAATTATTAATGATTATAATAGTACCCCCTCATAAAATTACCCCAAGGGGT